CGGCCCCCCGCGCCCCCTCTCTCCGCCGGGCGCCTGCAATGGGTGCAGCCCGGCCGAGAAGCGCCCCCGGCGCGCTCTTGACCACGGCGGCCTTGGCAACGGCCGGAAGGTACAGTACTTGGTGACAAGGGAGCGCAGGGTGGGGGCGAGCGTCAGCTTGGAGGGCGAGCCGCGCCGGCGCCCAGGCGGCAGCCTTTGCCCTAGAAGCGCGCCGGTGGCCCCTTCCTGGTCCGGGTATTCAGGGCTCTGAGGAGTTTAGACCTAGGAAACGCCCGGCTTCCTTCCTTCTCGGGGTGGCGAGTTTTCGATCCGGGAGGGCGCGACGTGCTTTCAGTCTTTGCCCGCGTCGCTGCTACCACTACCACCACCACCACCACCACCATCATCATTGCGCTCCAGTCCATCCTCTTTTATGGAGGCAGGCGAACTTCCTGTTGTTGCCTGGAGGTGAAAGGGGAGACTCCAGGGAAAGCCCGGGAGACCCCGTTTCTTTGCAGGAATGGGGACGACCGTGCTCGGCGGGGCTAAAAAATCCTCCACACGATCCCCTGGCGGTGATAAAAACAGCACAGGTTGCTCTGGGATCGGAGCCAGCAAGATTCCCTGCTGGCGCTCTTTCTGGTGCAAGTGTTCAGACGAAAACTCACCGGGACGGTGAGGAAAAATCATGTACAGGCGGAGTGGAGAGTAAGTAATAGGGTTACTATAGGATTGCAAGGAACTTCGTTAATTGGTGAATGAGGTGGCTTTTGCCAAAGATGTTGATTTTGATGCGATAATAATCAGGGTGCTTAGTGAGGCAGAGACAGTTGCATTTGAGCTAAATAGGCAAATTAGAGCGACCTTTGGTCGAGATGAGCGAGGTATAAATCTAATAAAATAAAACACATAGGCAAAGAAACGAGGATGCCTTGTTTCTTAAAATGGTGAGTAAAGATATTGAGTAGCAAATTATTCCAGCATTTAGCAATGAGCAGAGATGGTGAAAGTTCTGTTCCGGTCTTTCCACTCCCTGATAGGACTAGCTTCTGTGTTATTAAACAGAAGACTCAGTATGCACATAATTACACGTACAAATCACTATAAAATAGATATGTTATTTTTAAGGACGGCGCAGGAAAATTACCCAATATGTTGCCTAAAGTGAAGAGGATTATATGTATTTTTGCTGCATAAACTGACTGGGCGTGCTGTTTTGACACAGGTGGAAAGTGATGGCAAAGATTCTTCCTGTGGGCAGCAAGGTTGGTTAAGGATCACAAGAGGGATGTGACCCATGCGTCCCTTTTTCTCTACCATCCTGCTGCTGTTCTGTGTGCTGTCATCCCCTAGAATATTCCAGGAGGTGGCCTCATTTTCTCTCCTGGTAGGGCTGGCACTTGAAGGAAGGCACAAATTTCCCTACTGTCATCAAATACCTAAATTTTTGAGAGGATCCTCTCATAATCTAGAAGGTGCTCTCAGAGGACCAGAGAATGCGGCATTGGGGAGAAAGGGGGGTAGAAAGCTTTTGCTCTGTGAACTTCCTTAGCCTGCCTATCTTGGAACTAAGCCATGCATTTCTTCGTTACATTTTTATACTTAGCAAAACAAGAACGTGGCAAGGCAAGGTCAGCTTGGTCTTTTCCACTTTTTGTAAGGCTTAGCATAACCATAGTAAAAGTCCCTGCTGTGCCAAAGAACTTACTAGAGGACAACAGTGTGTGCAAGTATAAAGAGTGCCAGTAATTGGAACATGTTGGAAACTGTTGGGTGGGCACTGTTACCTCTGTCGTCAATGTGCTGCCTATACATACCAGTAGAGTATGAAAGAGAAAGTAATATGTTGCTATTTGTAACCTAGAAGAAATGTGTCATTATTCCCCTGCATTTTGTAGGGAAGTTTGTAACCTGATCTATTTCAATTAATTTTGTCTATACTTCTGATATGGCCAGCCTTAAATGCCAGAACATCAGAGGTATTTGGACAAGGCTGCATCAACTAACTGTACAGCACCGTGGTCCAAAATTTCTTTACAAAACATCAGGTTCTGTTCCGCTTATTTGGCTGTCCTGTTTGCAAAGTGTTGCTTTGCTTGCGTATGGTTTCCTCTGCTAGGACTTACTATTTAGTCTTCCTCATATGCCTACTCTACTCCTTTCTATTGTTTTCGTTGTTTGTTTTCCTGAAGTCAGTTCTTTACTTTGTTTTTATTTTATTCGTTACTTTTATATCCTCCAGTGAACTCAAGGCAGTACATAACAGCTGTTCTCTCCGTTTTATCTTCACAACAGCCTGTGAAGTAGGTCAGTCTGAGGGAGTGTGACTGGCATAAGGTGAGCTTCATGTCGCAGTGGTGGGACAGCACAAAATCTCCTCCTGCTGCTCAGTGGCAGCCTATCAACATAGGATTTAATTTCAACTGATACAGACAGACCTACTCAGTAGAGGACTAGAGTCTGAATCTCACTATTACCACTCTAACCACTACACCTCTCTGTGTTCAATCATTGTCTTATGTCCTCTAAATCAGCCCCTTTTCTCCTGGATCCAGGTTCCTCTTAGCTACCTTCTTTTATCAAACCCTCATCTTTTCCTACAATATTTGTAGTTTAATAGTATTCGTTTTATTCATGACTTGTAAACTACCT